GGTCACCAAATATGTTCCTCTTGTATGTCTTTCTTTGGCAATGTTGTTAAGCCATGTTTTATTTTCTGATGAAATTTCAAAATTTCAAGGATTTTGGACTTCAAGAAGTTCCAATACAAAATATTGATTTGGCTGAAAGATGAAAAGACTTCCACCCACACACAGATTTGGACTTTTATCAATATTTTCCAGTGTCTATGCCTAATTAGAAAGAGAGTCATTGCAAAGTCAAATTGGGCAGGGTGAGAGCCTGGGCTCAAGTAGGTGTCCACACACTGCTAACAGTTCGCAGTTTAGATGAGATCTGTTTGCCTTTATTTAGTCTCTTTTCCCATTGCACAGTTTTCCATGTCCATAAATGGTCTATTTTCTGACAATTTATAGATATACCACTTCTTACTAGATCTCTATATAGAAAAACACTTTTACATTTATGAAGATATTATCCTTGAAATCAAAATAACAGATGTCTTCTATTTAACTGTCCCTTTATACTTTTCAAAGGATTTTTCTTTTATTACGTGGTCGATTGTTTCAAGAGCATCATAATGCTATTGGTTCCATTTAGTGTATGTTCTCGGACAAAGAATCACAGAGAAGGTAAGCAAAAGTCAAGCAGGCAGTTGCGTTAGTGATACGACTGATGTGCTGGCTGTGTGCCTTCTGGTCTTAGCCGTAGCGTGGTCTTTTGTTCTTCCCTAGCGGAGCGTCGGTCCAGGGACATTACTTTCTAAGGATGCTTCTGTGCCCCTCCCTCAATTCCAGAGGTCCTGTTAGCCTTTATCTCCTGCCACGCTGTCTGAAATTATTGTATACTTGGTTTCCTTCTTACTCAAATATAAGTCCCACCTCTCTTCCTCATCCATCCATTACCTTTTACTTCACCAGTCCCATACAAACAAGCATTTGCAGGGATGACACAAGCACTCCCGTAATCACACATAGTCATGGATGGGCAAACATGGAGTTCTAAGTGTAAGCTTCAAACTGCCTTTTCATTCTCCAGATACACAAATGGAGAAATACAAGGAATTTCTGTTTATACAACACTGATTTAGAAGTTAGTACCTTAGACACAAAATTACATAGTATTTTACCATTATGAGACCAACTAACTTGTGTGATTAACTGTCTGGATAGACTCCTTTAACGTGTTAGTTTACAGTTGCGCATAAATCAACACTAGCAGGGGCTCTAAGGTGTGGCAGAGAATGAACTTAACTTGATATCTTAGTCCTCCCTCTGTGATAAGGGGCTATGTGATTTTTCTTTCTTTCCTTTGGCTTCCTTTCTGGAAGGAAGAGAGGAAGGAAGGAAGGAAGGAAGGAAGAAAGGAGGGAAGGAAGGAAGGAAGGAAGGAAGAAAGGAGGGAGGGAAGGAGAGAAAAAAAGAGAAAAGAAATTTAAACTGGATACCCCTAAGGTCTTTTTCAATCCTAATAATCTTTGTGGGGATTTTTCATATATTTTCCTTTTAAACTTTTACTTCCATTATCTTGTCCACAATGTGGCTTACTCAGCTTACAGTCTTTTAATTCAAATTTTGCTGCTCCTATCATAATATTCCTTTTATAATGTCTTTATTTACTAATTACTTTGTTATGTAAATTTGTCTCTGAATCCTTATGTGGTCTATATATTGTCTCATTTCAAATGTACAGATAGATGAGTTTGTTCAAATGTATATGATCAGAAATATCGCCACGAAGATAATGTAAATCATTTCCATTACCACACAGAGTTCCCACGGGCCTGTTTTTCTTTCTCATTTGTATTTTTGATAGCTTTATTGAGAAATAATTTGCTTACCATATAACTTATCCATTTAAAGTGTACAATCCAAGGGATTAAGCAAATTCCCAGAGCTGTGCAACCATCGTTACAATTTAACATGTTTTTATGATTCCAGTAAGAAACTCTATACCTATTAGCCACTAATCCCTTCTCCCCACCCCCAACCCTAGGTACCCACTATTCTACTTTTACGCTTTATATATTTGCCAATTCTGTATATTTCATATACCTTCAATCATATAATAATTGTGTGATTTTGTGATTGATTTTTTTGCGATTGATTTTTTTTCACTTAGCATAGTTTTGCAAGAATTGTTCATATTGTGGCATATATTATTATTTAACTTCTTTTTAAGGCTGAGTAATATTCTATCATATGGATATATTACATTTTTTTATCTGTTCAGCAGTTGAGGGACATTTTCTTATTTCCAAATTTTAGTTATTATGAATAATACTGCTTTAAAGCAATTCACATAACAGATTTAGTGTTTTCATTTCTCTCAGGTATATACCTGGAATGGAATTGGTGGGTCATATGGTAACTGTATATTTAACTGCTTGAGGAACTTCCAGATTGTTTTCCAAAGCAACTGCACCATTTTACATTCCCATTAGCAATTTTGGATTTCTCCACATCCGTGTCAACAATTGTTACTATGTGTCTTATAATAACCATCCTTGAGTGTGAAGTGATATGTCATTATGATCTTGATATGCATTTGCAATTTCATAACAAACAACTTTTCATGTGCTTATTGGCCATTGTACCTATACTTTGCAGAAATGTCTTTTCATATCCATTGCTCATTTATATTGGGTAATTTGCCTTATTATTGAGCTGTAAGAGATCATTATATAGTCTACATAAGTTTTTTTTTTTTCAGATAGATGATTTGAAAAATCTCTTCTCCTACTTTGTGGATGTCTTTTCACTTTCTTAATAGTGTCCCTAGAAGCACAAACCTTTTTAATTTTGATGATGAGATGATCTTTTCATAAGCTTATCGGCCACTATTTCTTATTTTCTTTCAACATGTTTATTTGGCTTTATTTCTTTTATTATAAAATTTCCATTCAAATTTTCTGATTTTTTTCAATTTTATTTTATTTATTTATTATTATTTCAGAATATTACAGGGGTACAAATGTTTTGGTTACATGGATTGGTTTCATATTGCTTGAATCAAAGTTATAAGTGTGCCCATCACCCAGATAGTGTACATTGTATCTGGGAGGTATGATTTCACCCATTCCCTCCTCCCCTCTCCCACTTGCATGATTTCCATTGAGTTTTACTTCCATCTGTGCACATGAGTGCTAATAGGTTAGTTCAAATTTAATAGTGAGTAGATGTGGTATTTCTTTTTCCATTCTTGCAATACTTCACTTAGGAGGATGGTCTCCAGTTCCATCCAGATTGTTACAAAAGGTGTTGATTCATTTTTTTATGGCTGGGTAGTATTCCATGGTATACTTATGCCACATTTTATTAATCCACTCATGAATTGGGTTGATTCCACAGCTTTGCCATTGTGAATTGTGCTGCAATCAACATTTTAGTGCAAGTGTCTGTATGATAAGTTGACTTGTTTTCTTTTGGGTAAATACCTAGTAGTGGGATTGCTGGATCAAAAGGTAGGTCTACTTTTAGTTCTTTGAGAAATCTCTATACTGTTTTCCATAGAGGTTGCACTAATTTTCAGTCCCACCAACAGTGTATAAGTGTTCCTTTCTCTCCTTATCCACACCAGTATCCATTGCTTTGGGACTTTTTGATAAAAGCCATCCTCACTGGGGTTAGGTGATATCTCATTGTGGTTTTGATTTGCATTTCTCTGATGATTAGTGACATTGAGCATTTTTTTCATGTTTATTGGAAATTTGTCTATCTTCTTTTTAAAAAGCTTTTGTTCATGTCTTTTGCCCACTTTTTAATGGGGTTGTTTGATTTTTTTTCTTGCTGATCTGCTTGATCTCTTTGTAGATTCTGGATATTAGTCCTTTTTGGATATATAGTATGCAAATATTTTCTCCCATTCTGTAGGTTGTCTATTTGCTCTATTGACTGTTTCTTTCACTGTGCAGAAGCTTTTTAATTTAATCAAGTCCCATTTATTTATTTTTGGTTGTTGCTGTGATTGCCTTTGGGATCTTCTTCATACATTCTTTGCCTAGGCCAATATCTAAAAGAGTTTTTCCAACATTTTCTTCTAGATTTATTATGGTTTCATGTCTTAGATTTAAATGTGTTATCCATCTTGAATTATTTTACAACTGATACCACAGAGACACAGCCCTAATATTCTTTGATTGGATGAGAAAACAGTTTTGATTCTCCAAGGAATGGAAGACACATTCTTTGAGAGGCTCTAAATGGGTCTGGTCCGTAAGTGGCCCTTGAAAATAGAGTCAGTATATTTGAAGTCCTGCCTACAGGCAGAATAGGTCTTTTACTTCTGAAAAAGGTGATTTTGGTTCAAGCTGCTCCTGAGGCTGATGCAGCCACCTTATATAGCAT